TTTGATAAATGTTGATAGTTGTAGAGGGGCTTCGGGTCTTTTGTTCATAGGGTCACTATGAGTCGTGCTCGACTCAAAGGCAATCAACCAGAAGAAGAAGGTGTATTTATTCCAACTCAGCAAAGACGAAGCAACTGAACCTCCAACTTCAGAGATGAACAGAATCATCATGGGTATTAGTTAATTCATTAGATCAATTTAAGGTTTCAAATAAAAGATACCGAGAACAAAAGTGTTTTACTTTCTGAAATAGAAACTTCTTTAAAAATTAAGCTCTTCTAATAAAATTTTAATTTGTTTAAAAGTAAAATGAATTTTGAATGAACAAAGATCACTAACTCATTTTATGAAATGTGCTGTGTTCTTCCTACTTTTAAAAAAAGGTTATTTTTTCTTTTTTTTCATTTTAATGAACGTTTACAGAGATTTTGGATTTCTATACATTCATTGTTGCATTTTTCTCTGTCCACCCCTCCTCCCCAGTTCACTCTTTTCTTTGAAAAGTAATGGAAAAATTCCTTCATTGGTATAGAATCCCCCCCGCCCTGAGTACACTCCACTATGCAAACTTCACGCTGGACTCTTGTCATAACCATAATGCCCTATCATATATAGCTTTTAAACAATTCTCTCCGTCATCTGTTTCAATGCAGTCTACTAATTTATCCAATTTTTCTCAGTCTCACTCCAACCCTGATGTCAGTCCCATTCTACAATAGTGGCACCATGCAGCACCTGTCCTTTTGTGACAACCGCCTAGGACAGAGTTTATTTCTAATTTTGAGAGCCGCTCTGTTTTCCCAGGGGAGGGTTCTCCCACACTCCGGGGCCAGCTCTTCTTTATGTCCAGAGGTCAAACCTGGCTCCTTAGGGGACTAGGGGTAAGGATCTGCACTGCCAACCCCAAGGCACGCAGTTTGAATCCACCAGCTGCTTTGTGAGAGAGATGAGAAATCACCTCCTGTGCCATTTACAGCTTCTGAAACCCGCTGGAGGGTCAGTTCTTGGTCAGTTCAACTCAACAGGACACCACAACCATGACCGATGCAGGAGGGAGTGAAGGGAAGGGTGGAAGCTTGCCCCCAGAGGTGGCAGAGTGGCCAGGCCAGTGAGTGTACTGATGCCATTATGGCCAACAGAAGCAGGGCTCCAAGTCCAGTTCTTTCTCCTTAACACAGGCAAAGAGGGGAGGTGTTTGGACATTTCTAACTAGGGCTGCTGTGACAATTAAGCACCTCAGCTGGGCACTAGACAGGAAGTTCTCTGTCCTTCCTCACCCACTTCTCCTTCTCCCTTCCCTTCCTTCCCTGAACCCTGGCATCGTTATGTGGACTGTCAACTCAGCAAACACTAACAATGAATGGCTAGTCATAATAACGGGAAGCAATCTCATCAGATCTAACCCCTGCGACCCTGCAGACCAAGCCCATGAGCGTCCCAGCAAACCTCTGGAGAAAGCATCCAGATGATAACAAGCTTCTAGCCAGCACATCTTAAACAAGAAATCTGAAAGGCTGTGTCTATCTCATCAATGTTTTAGAGGCTCAATTTGAACACCAGAGTACCATATAATTAACAGCGTCTTTAAAAACGACTTTGTGAATGTGCCTGGCAATCCTACAGTATAAACTATCACTCTGGCGTAAGTCTGAAGGGCTTGGCAGTGACGTCTTCTACTGCATGAGAGACAGGGCAGCAGAAGACAAGGAGTCCTAATGTGAGAAATCTCAAGTCCAGACCAGACTCCCCGAATAATGATAATTGGAAATGAAGAGTAAGAAGCGGGGAAAACAGAATGTGTGGTTAAGTGTCTCCATGAACAGCAATTTCCTTAATCATGAGACCTGGATGAAATGTTTCCCAGCTCCCACTACTGAACATTTTGATAAAATATTCCACACAAGGATCTTCATCAAAAGGGGAGAACTGTGGAACAGAATTTCAACTTTTCAGACATTCTAGACACTCTGGAGCCAAGGGAGCTGAGTGGGCACTGAAACTATTGTCCTTGTATACTCTTTAAGCTTTACCAAAAATATCCCAAGATGTCCATTACATCAAACAATAATTGGACTTAACTACTAAAAAAAAAATCTTCCTTGAGAGTAAGGCTTTTTAAAAAACTCTTTATATGGGATCAAATTGACCAATGCAACTTGAAAGATTAAGTATTAACTTTAGGAAGCAGCATCCCTGGTACAGACAGAAATCAAAGTAGTGTTAGTGTCTACCTCTTAAGAGTGTCTACCTTTGAGCAGTGGGGACTGCCTGGAAGCAGGGAAAATTTGGGGGTAACAGAAATATTCTATCTTGATAGAAGTGATAGCACAGTGTACACATTTGTCAAAATTAAACTGAAAACAAGGTACATGCATTTAAACTTGTATAAATTTTACATTAAAATAAAAACATAATTATAAAAATACAAGAATGATGGTCAATTTGAGTTGTTGATGTAGTTGTTATGTCCCGTTGAGTTGTTTTTAACTCATAGCAACTCTACACACAATAGGTGTGAGCCCTGCTGTACCGTGAGCCAATCTCACTGTCTCTGACACACTCACTCTCAATATCCCAGAGATTTTTGTCAATCTTTCTCATCCAGTGTCTTCCTCTCCTGTGCTGTCCCTCGACCCTTCCAAGCATGATATCCTTCCCCAAAGACTGGCCCCTCCCGGCTATCTGCCCAAAGTGTGTGAGACAGAGTACTCTATGGAAAACGGAAAATCAAGCCTAATTGTTCACTCTCAGGCTGGCTCATGAAGAATGACTTCACTCTGGACTTGGAGAGAGAGAAAGTAGTTACTAAAGGCTCACATTTGTCTGTGTGACAAGTGACATGATACGTCTACAAGACCATCCGCTGAATCCACTTCTTAGGGCCGCCATAGCAAAGTTCCACCAACTGAGTGGCCTAAAACAACAGAAGCGTATTCCACAATTCTGGAAGTCTGAAACCAAGGCTTTAGTGGGGGCGTGCACTCTCTGATGTTTCTAGGAAAGAAAGTGTTCCACGATTTCTCTCAGGTTCTGGTTCTGACAGCAATTACTGACGTCCTTTGGTTTGAAATTACTTCACTCCAGTCTCTGCCTCCACCATCACGTGACACAGCCCTTTTTACTTACGTCTCTGCACTGCTTCTCTTCTTACAAGGACTCTCAACTCTTGGGTTAGTGTCCCCCCGACTGGGACCTATAGAGTTCTATCTACACTAACTCTATTTTCAAATAAGGTCACATCTACAACCAGCATGGATTAGAATGACAACGAGTCAGTCCCAACCTGAACGAAGGGAATGACTGAGTTTTTGAGTTTGAATGATGTACTCTAGAGATCTTTCAGGGTAGGAAATGAAAACTGCTAGAGCTCAGACACATCTTCTTGGCATAAATTCAAAGTTAACTCCTTTATGCTACGTGGGGGTTCAGAAGATAATCATAGGGGAGGGCAGCCGCAGAAAGCAGCAGTTAGAGAGGAAATGTCTCTGCGAAGCAGTCCCTACAACAAGGAAAAGGAAACACAGCTTTGAAAAGACTTAAGCCGGTCTACACGGCCAAGAGGGCTTGGAAATCCCAATGGAAATCCCAATGAGCCGTGTGATGCCATGCAGATTCACACCCTCTCTACTGGGTACTGTCCCTGTAAAATGAGGACCTTCTTCACAGGGAAGGTCCAGGAAGCGTCAGGAGGAAGAGTGACCCCAGGCAAATCACGGAGATTATTTTACACCTTTTCATTCTCTTTCCATGAATTCGTATTAATGGCCTGGTTCTGCTAAATTCTTCAGCTGCTCTCTCTCTCTCCTTCTCTCTCTCTCTCTCTGTCTCTGTCTCTCTCTCCTTCTCTCTCCCTCTCCCTGCGCCCTTCCTCCCTCTCTCCCTCCCTCCCCCCCTTTCTCTCTCTCTCTTCCCCTTACCCTGACATATCCTGGGGGACATTTAATTCACACTTCAACCACCTATTTACTTACTATACTTTATGTCAGCACTAAGAACCGATCGTTATAAACACTAGGTAACCTCTTTGCCTGAGACTTGCCACAGGACGCATATAAATAGAGAACAGCCAGTAAGGAAAGAAAGAAAAAGTTAATCCCACTGGGAACTAGAAATGCTTTCTATAGCACAGCTTCCTGGACTATCCTTTCATGTTCCCTAACCTCAAGCAAGACGGAAGAGCAAGGAAGATGCTGAATTACTGTTGTCTTGTTCAAGTGGTGGTATTCTAACCTCGCTGCATATACCAGGAAATAATGGACTTGCCTGAAATTGCCCGGAGTCACTCCTTTTCCAGGCACCTGCTGTAGCGTAACAACTGTGGCAAGGAATCAGGGTGAAAAGGATCATGTGTTCATAGGGGAAAAAAACCAACCCAACAACAACACAACCCCAGGACCACAGGAGGTGATACAGCCAAAAGGCATTCCCGTTTAGCAAATGAGGGCATCAAACAGCATTCATTTCAGTTCTTACTTTCTCTAACATACACAGTACAGGTTATGTATTAAACCCATACCTAGGCTGAAAGGATTATATGATTAGACATTGTATGTATGACAATCATCTGTAACAAGAGATGCATTGCAGAGTGCACTAGGGAAGGGAGAGGGAAGAAAATATGCCACAAGGAATAAATGTAAACTCAACCTTCTTGTAAACTTTCCTTAAAATCACAATTTAAAAAAACAAACCACAATTTAAACCCCCACCAAAAAAACCCCCAAAATCAAAAAACCTATGCCTAGAACATGGTAACTAATGACAGCTTAGAAGGTGAGCAGCCCAAACCTCAACAGAAAGCATCAACAGTCACACATCCAGGTTGACAGAAAGCTGTTCTGAAAAGGACAGGACATTCACCTCTCCTGCCCAAGGATGTGCTTGCACACATAAAGACATCCTAGCCCACGGTCAAGCAGCAGGGCACAGGCTCAGGAAGCCAGTTCCTCTCGTCCACACATGGTCCACGTGTGCCTGCCCTGGACGCCGGGGACCCTCACCTGAGTCGTTCTTCCTCTTTCTTGCGAAGATTGAAGTCCCGCTGAACCACCTGGAGAACATGCTCCGTTTCATCGTCAGTCAAGCCGGACAGGTCCAGCTTCCTCCCCATGATGGGACGTAACCACGGGTGGGCAAATTATCCTGAGGAAACAAAGACCACACGTCAACCACGAGATAAAAGGATCTGTACAAAATAACCCCCGTGTCACTAAAACGATCAGACACACGTGATGTGTTTATAGGGAGCTCTGGGGGCGTCGTCTGTAGTGAAGAGGGCTGCCAACCCACCGGCTGTACTCCGCTGCTGGTTCAAATCCGCCAGGTACTTTGAGGGAGGAGGATGAGAAGTTTCCTCCTGTGCAACTTAGCGCCTCAGAAGCTCACTGGAAGATCAGCTATGAGCTGTGACAGACTTGACAGCAGTGAGTTTGAGTTCTCTGAGTATATATTCGCAGAGGACAGAGTATTACAGTGGGCTAAGGGCTGAGCCGTCAGCTGAAGGATAAGCAGTCTGAACCTGGCAGCAAATGGAGAAAGATGCGGTAGTTTGCTCCCAGAAAGATTTATAGCCTCTGATGCTCTATGAGAACATTACTCTGTCTTATGGGGTCACTACTGCTCAGAATTAACTCAACTGCAATGGTTTTGGTGTTAAGTTTTATGTTTACATGCAAGTATTTATATAATGTAGTATTGAGTCACTGTATCAAAAGGAATTGGCAGACACAGAAGAATTTCATGTTCAGACTGCTTTGAAGGAAATGGCAAAAAATAAGGCCCCAGGAATAGATGGTATACCAATTGACATATTTCAGCTAAGAGATACTGCCCTGGATGTGCTCACCAAGTTGTGCCAAGAAATCTGGAAAATGACCACTTGGCCAACTGACTGGAAGAGATCTCTATTTGTTCCCATCCCAAAGAAGGGTGACCCAACAGAGTGTGGAAACTATAGACCAATCTCATTGATTTCACATGCAAGCAAGATTTTACTGAAGATTGTCCA